CCCCAGTATACGGGTACCCAGGGCTACAAAGCGAGAGCTACTGAAATAAATGCTAGCACTTGGAAGACTGAGCCAGGAGGATTGCTGTGAGTTTGAGGACAGCCTTGGCTATAGAGTTAGACTCTGTCTCAAAACAAAATGAAAATACAAAAACCAAAAGCCATGGGAAAGGGGGTGTGTGACTGGAGAGATGGCTCAGTGATTAAGAACACTGCTGCTCTTGTATAGGACTCGGGTTTGGTTCCCAGCACCCACAGTGCAGCTCACAGACACCAGTGAATCCAGTTCCAAGAGAGCTGCCTCTATTCTGGCCTCCATAGGCACCACACTCACATACAGTGCACATACATACACATAAGCAAAACACCCACACACATAAAATCTTAATAAGGCCAAAATAACCTAGGGCCAGTGAAATGGCTGAGTGGGTTCCAGCACTTACTGCCAAGACCGATAATCTGAGTTCAGTCCCCAGGATCCACAGAATGAAGGAGAGAACCAACTCCTGCATACTGTCCTCTGACCACAACCTACCCCTCAGCTCACTCAGGAGAGAGAGAGAGAATACACACATGGCAGTACATGCCTATAATTCCTACTGGAGGGGGGAGGAATGCTAGGCCTCACATAGTGAGTTCTAGGCCAGCCTATGCTACATCAGACCTTGCCTCAGAAGAGGGGCAGACCTACATAGGTGGGGGAGGTAGCTCAGATGGTAGACCACTTGCTTAGCACGCATGTGATCATGGGTCCATTCCCAAGACTCAGTTCTGTGATACGGTTGGACAGTAACTTTACATCAGTGGTTTCAAACTGTTCTAGCACAGGAGGGGCGAAAGGGAGATAGGTTCTGGCAATGTAACCCAGGTTGGTTTTGAGCTTCCCATCCTCTTGCCTCAGCCTCCTAAGTGCTAGGATTACAGATATCCACTACCATGCTTGGCTCATGAGTTTCCTTCCTTCTTCCTTTTATTTACCCCCTGGACAACGTCCCATTTAACCCAAGCTTGTAGCTGAGACTGACCTTGAATTTCTGATCCTCCTGTCTCTACCTTCTGAGTGCTAGTGTTACAGTCATGTGACCACTGTACCCAGTTTGATGCAGCACTGGGGACCAAACCCAGGGCAGTGCGTATTCTAGGCAACCTTCCTCCAACTGAGCTGCAGCCTCGGGCCTTCATATCTCATACTCAGGCTACCACACACCACATTCTCCTGCTCTCAAAAGAACTCCACACCCGATTCCTGTCACCTCCCACACTGGCAGCTTCCCTGGTCCACCGACCCCTCACCTATCTGAAATAAGACAGGTGGCTTTTGAGACTCCCAACCTCAGGGCTCTCCCGGTTGAACTGTTCCCCATATGTCCACAAGAGGGCATCAGTTCCCACTTCTGGGAGCTCCCATTCCCAGCTCAGAGGTGTTCTACAGACAGGTGCTCCTCATAGTCCAGGAGACCTTACAGCATCCCCCTTCAGTAACTTCTGTAGCCTATCTAGTCCACCCATCCACCACACTCACTCCAGTCACACCGGTCGGTCTCTCTCTTTGTTCCGTTTGGTTTTGGAGACAAGGTCTCACTCCATAGTCCTGGCTAGCCTGGAACTCCAGGTCCTAGCCTTCCTCCAGCTTTTGTTAGTTCTTAATTTTTTTTTTTCTTCTGAGACAGGGTTTCTCTGTAGCTTTGGACCCTGTCCTGGAACTAGCTCTTCTAGACCAGGCTGGCCTCAAACTCACAGAGATCCGCCTGCCTCTGCCTCCCAAGTGCTGGGAGTGCACATCACTACCGCCCGGCTTTCTTTAATTTTTTTTTTCAGAAGCCAGTCGGTGGTGATGCAAGCCTTTAATGCCAGCACTCAGGAGACAGAGGCAGGGAAGCAGTAAGATCTCTGTGAGTTTGAGGCCAGCCTGGGCTACAAAGTGAGTTGCAGGAACAGCTAAGGCTACACAGAGAAACTCTGTCTCGAAAAACAAAAAACAAAACAAAACAACTATATATATATATGTATATATATATATGATGTGTATGTATATGTGGGCATGTGCATGCAGATACGTGTGTAATGTATGTGTGAGTATGTCAATTTTATCCCCCACTATGTGTGGTCTGGGGGTCGAACTCAGGCTTCGTGGCAAGCACTCTGACCCAGTCTTGCCTAAACTAGTTATTTCTTGCTCATACCAGGCTGCCTCTTGCTCCAGAGCCCTTTCTCTGGCTGTTCCTTCCCCTAGACACCTTTGACCCAAATCCCTACTTGGATCTTTCTTCAGCTCTTTTGAATCTTTTCTCAAATGTCACCTCAGCAAGGTCTTCTCTCAGGAAATTTAATCCAGTCCCCACCCCAGTTCTGTGCATCACTTACCCACCCATCACCTTCTCTAGTTACTTAGTTTTTGTTTTAATTTTTATACTTAATTATTGATATCTGCGCATGTGGCATGCATGCAGAGGTCAAAGGACAAATCCAATTTCTCTCCTTCAGGTCCTGTTTTGGTTTGGCTTTTGAGACAGGGTCTTGCTTTGTCACATAGCTGAGAACTCAACATATAGTCCAGGCTGGCCTGGATTTTTTTTTTTAATTTTTTTCCCACGAGACAAATAAGGCAAGAAAAGTCAATATTCAGCAAGTAGATAAAAACAATGAAACACGACAGACTCACAGACAACACGGCTGCCCACACAGAACCTCTCTCCAAATGTTCAGAAACAATCCAGTAGAATCAAGAAACAAAGCCCAGGCAGTTCCACAAGCTATAACACAAATATACAAAAATCCATTTCATTAATATACATGGCAAAAACACATGGACCAATAAAAATAATCCACAATAGCATAAAATGCAAACTCATACAAATAAATATGTATTATTTGCATGTGGAAAATCTACAAAATGGATAAAGAAAATTTAAAAGATATGAAAAAGGCTTGGAAACATTTTCAAATTTCAGTTTCTCAATATTTCTGAGATATTAGTTCTAGCCAAATTGGCCAACTGATTCAATGCAATCCCTGTCAAAATCCCGTCAGATATATCTTTGAAGAAACTGGGACGCTGATTGTGAAATTTATATAGAAAAGTAAAAGGCATCTGCTAACTTGTATGATTATGATAAAGAAGAAAGTTAATGAGGGCTTATATTACATGACTTCATGATTCTTTCAGATTAACTAGGCTAGCAGTAGAGGTCGGCAGACTTGAGAGGTCATTATCAGGGATGCTTAGTTTCCACAGAGCTTGACAGTTGAACAATTGCCTGTGTTGCTTTTTAAAATGTAGCCTTGCTCATAAGACTTCAGGGCCTCTCTGTTCTTCAGGAAAAAGTGCAGACTCTTCATTGTGGCTTTTGAGGTCCTCATCTCTGCACATAATCATCCTACCACATCCGTCATCACCTGTGCCTCCTCCAATCTCCCTCCATCATCCTGCGTAGCCCACTCTGCCTGCTACCCAGGGTCCAGTCTCCAGCTGATGGCCTGCAATTTTCTATATAGCTGGGGTTGCCCTTGAGTTCCTGCTGCTTCTGCCTCTACCTCCTTAGTGCTGGGGGTTGAACCTAAGGCCTTTTGCATGCTAAGCAAACCCACTGCCGCTCTACTGCTGACTATAGTCCCAGCAAAGGCTAGTCATTTTTAATGTGTAAAATGTGTGCTCCCCACACCCTGCCCCACCCGTTCTTGATACCCCAGGAGGTTGATACTGGTACCCACTAAATTAGTAGATCCAGATGTGTTGAAAAATGTTCTGGCAGGCCTTGGCCAAGTGTCTAATGAAAGCTACTTCCCTCGTTTTACATGGGTGTTGTATTTCCTGGAATATCCAGAGGTAGTTAGAGCCTCACAGAGGCCTTGTATTTACAATGGTGACTTCATGTGGAGCTTAGGTCAACAGTATTTCTGCCTGCAAGGAAGGCTAACATTTAATTGGTCTGATCTGAATGTACAGATTACTAAAATGTAGAAATAATTCCTCTTCTGGCTGGTAATTAACTGGTAAGTAGTAAACTTACATATTCTTTATTAATTTCCTGGGGGAGGAATGAATGTTTCTTCACCATGTGGGAGCCAGGGGTCCACTCAGGCTCTCAGGCTTGGCCGCAAGTTTTTACCTGCTGCATCTTCTAGCTGCCATCATCATCATCGTCATCATTTTATTGTGTGACCTCAGGATATCCCTCAACAGTTTCTTTACCCAGCCAAGTGTGGTGGCACACTCCCAGTACTCCCAGTACAGAGGTAGGCAGCTCTCTGAGTTCGAGGCCAGCCTGGTCTACAGAGTGAGTTCCAGGACAGCCAGGGCTACACAGAGAAACCCTGTCTCTTTTTTTTTTTGATTTTCGAGACAGGGTTTCTCTGAAGCTTTTTTGGTTCCTGTCCTGGAACTAGCTCTTCTAGACCAGGCTGGTCTCGAACTCACAGAGATACGCCTGCCTCTGCCTCCCGAGTGCTAGGATTAAAGGTATGCGCCACCACCGCCTGGCATTTTACATTCTTTTTTTTTTGTTTGTTTGTTTGAAAAACCCTGTCTCAATAACAAACAAATAACAACAACAAAACAAAAACAAACCAGCTCCACGACCCGAGCACTGTGGGGAGAAAGGGTTTATTTCGTCTGATAACTCTCAGGTCACAGAAACAAAGAGACCGAGGAGCATTGCTTGCTGGCTTGTTCAGCCTTCCTTCCTTCCTTCCTTCCTTCCTTCATCTTTATTTGTTTGTTTGTCTTTTGAGACAAGGTTTCTCTGTGTAGCCCTGGCTGTTCTGGAACTCACTCTGTAGACCAGGCTGGGCTCAGACTCAGAGATCCTCCTGCCTCTGCCTCTGGAGTGCTGAAACTAAAGGAGTGTACTGCTGTGCCTGGCCCAATAGTTTTGTTTTGTTTTTGTTTGTTTGTTTTGAGATAGGATTTCTCTGTGTAGCTTTGGAGCCTGTCCTGGAACTAGCTCTGTAGACTAGGCTGGCCTTGAATTTACTAAGCCTCCCTAATCCCAAGTGCTAGGATTAAAGGTGTGTGCCACCATCGCCTGGCACGTTGGCTTTTTTTTTTTTTTTTTTGAGACAGTCACTTGTAAGCCAGGCTCGCCAGGAACTCTCCACGCGGTTGATGATGGCCTTGAACTCCTGCTCCTCCAGCTGAGGTTGTAGGCACAAACCACCACTCCTGGTGATTTCATTTAGTTTGGTTGAGATGGGGTCTTGCTGTGTTGAAGGTCTTTAACTCCTGGGCTAGAAATACTCCAGCCTCCGCCTCCTAAATAGCTGAGATCACAAATGCACAAGCTGTGCCGGCTTCCTGTGCTTTATTAGTTACTATGCTCTGACCAGTCTGTGGTACAGGTGCCAAGCCTAGGGCCTGTGCAGGCCAGATAAACCTGGGGTCTATAGCCCTAGGGCCTGTGCAGGCTAGACAAACCTGGGTCTACATCCCTAGGGCCTGTGCAGGCTACATAAGCCTGGGTCTACATCCCTAGGGCCTGTGCAGGCTACATAAACCTGGGTCTACATCCCTAGCTTTCCTTTCCTAAATCAGGACCAGAGTGTGGGGGCATATTTCTATAACCCCAGCACCTGGAACACTGAGGCAGGAGAATTAGATAAATTGCAGGCTAGCCTGGGATCCATAGCAAGCCTGGGATCCTCCATTGGCCCAGACATTTTGGTACACACCTACAATCCCAGCCAGCACTCCAGAGTCGAAGACAGGCGGATCAAAAGTTTGAAACCCAGCCTAGGTTACAAAGTTAGACCCTGTCTCAAACCCCTGCTCTTCCCAATAAAATAAATGGGGGGTTTGGGGAGTGGGGAAGGCACAGCCAGGAAGCATGTGGAGGAAATCCTCAAAGCAAGAAAACGAAAGGCTCTATTCATCTTTTATTTTAATTTTAAAGTAATATAAATTAGGCATTATTTAACAATATACAGTTGGTCGTAGTGGTTTGACCATAATTTACATGTATAATTAAATAAGGAAAGTTATTGTTTTTAACCTGGTAAATGGCACAACTACCGCAAGGTCCCACTTGGGTACTATTTCTAGAGCGAGACATAAAATGGGCTTTGAAATGATGGCCTGAATTCAAGTCTCCTATTGACTGGCCACTTCCTAAACTATCTGCTCATGGATAAATAACTGCCATTTTGGCCTCAGTTATCCTGCCTGGAAAATGGATGTAATAGCAGCTGTCAATTCAGGGAGTAGGAGTGAGGATGAATCCATTCGTGTGTATGCCTGGGCCCCAGTAAGCTCTCCTTAACTACGAGTTATGGCGAAGGTTCACCCCTCAGGGCAAGTGGGGAAACGGGGGCCGAGAACTGAAAGAGGTAATAAATATGTCAGCCAGGATCCCAAACCAGAGCCCTGTTAGTCTTCCAGGTACATGAAGGGGCTAGAAGCAGCAGATACATCACGCAGAGTTCTCTCAGAGGAGGGGAGGTGGCCAGTGCCGTCCCACCACCCAGAGCCATGCCAAGAAAACCAGAGATGATGGCCGGACAGATGCGCCCTCTGGTGGAGGAAGCAAACACTACAGCAAAGGATCCTACGGATTCTAGACACCAATTTGGAGGCATTCACAAAACAGGCCGAAAGCAAAACTGTGCAACTGGTCCAGGGCCTCCTAAGTTGTGTGTGGTAGACTGAAGCTGGCTGGTCTGTCCTCCGGACATCACTTTACAAGGGTCTAAGGATCTTGGAACATAATAGGGCAGAGACTGTGTGAAGCCCTGACGATGGGCTCTGATCCCCGGGCTTTTCCATCAAAGGCCACCACTTTCCTCCATTACTTGGATGGAGTAGAAGGTCTCCACACTTACCCCAGCTCAGGGCTCAAGAATATGTATGTTGCTCCAATCTTCCGCAGGGTTCTGCTTTCTGCCAAAGCCGGACTTTTCCTGTGGGCTCCCTCAAGTCTTCCTTGGGCAGTTCACCTTTTTTTTTTTTTTCCCTCCAATGCACAGCCTCACCGCTCAATCAAATAAGCATGTCCAGACCCACAGGGCCTCCAAAGGCAGAGAACTGTTTCCTGTAAATTACCGCTCCCCTAGCCCCAGATGCGAGCACCGGGGTTTCAGCCACCTGTCAAGCTTAAGAGTGCAGGGTTGGGGTACTCCGGGTTTTCGATGACGCCAGGCCCGAACTTGAGCTCCAGAAAGCGGCGGTAGTTGTTAGGGGCCTGCGCCATGAAGCCAGCAAAGGGCAGGGGGACTAGCGGCTGCAGGAAGTGCTCTGGGAACTCCACATCCTGCCGGTGGTCCAGCCACGTGTCCTTCGTCATGACCCCATTGCGGGGGTAGAAGGGCCACAGGTCAACGTGCAGGTGGTTGCTCTCACTGAACTGCACTCGGAAGAAGTCGCCCTCCACTGCCTTCTCCCACACGAAGCCGCGTTCGTCCACTACCGAGCCAGCCTCGGCGCCCCGCAGCTGCTCGCAGTTGCCCACGTCCTCCAGGTAGATGCCCAGGTCTACGTCGTAGTCCCAAGGGATAATGTCACCGTGGCGTGCTGCACCCAGCAACGAGCCGCCCTCCAGCCAGTACCGCACGCCTGCGGCCTCCAGCACGCCCACCACGTAGCGCGCAGTCTCTCGCAACGCGCGCAGGCAGCAGGGCGGTGTCCAGCGGCCCTCGTACAGGTAGGAAGGTGTGTCGCCCGCTACAGTCCCGAAGCAGCGTGCGCTCTCCTTGCTGCAGCCAAACCACTCGAGCCGCCCGCCCTCCCAGCTCACCAAGCGGATGCCCAGAGCACGCAGCAGCGCCGCCCTCCGCGAGCGCCCCTCGCGATCTGCCTTCCAGCGCGCGTGAGCCGTAGCCAGAGGGGGCTGGCGCGCCGCGGCGAAGGTCAAGTCCAGTAGCTGCACTGTCCAGCCCCGTAGAGCAGTCTGCAAGAAGAGGCTGGTGGCCAGAGGCCGCGCCAAGGGCACCGAGAGGTTGAAGAGGTCACGGGAGCGCAGTAGCAGCACAGCGTCGCCATCCACGGCGTCACAGCGCGGTGCGCCGGGTGCTGGACCGTAGCGCGCGGTCCACTCCCGCAGGCTGACGTTCAGTGCCAGGCACCGCGCTGGGTTGGCGGTGGCGACTGGGGCGGCTACCAGGCGCGCGCTGCTCCCTCGGAGCGCCTCCACCATACGCTCCAGGTGGGTTGGCGACTCGGCCCGCACTCCGTCAGGGACCAGGGCCACGAACTCGGTGGCTACATATGTCTCTGGGCGCGAGGCCGCGGCTGGCCGGTCCAGGGCCGGCTGGAGCAGCGCCAAGCGAACGTTGGGGATGCGAGGCAAGGCCAGGGGTGGATAAGGGAGTGTGTCAGCCGCCACTACCACAGGCAGGGCTGGGTCCTGCTGCAGGAAGGAATCCACCAGCTCTGGCACCGCGTTGTCAAAGGCCTCAAACTCCCGAATCAGGACGGTTACACGGGGTCCAGTGGCAGGAGTCCGGCGGGGGCCCCGTGCCCGGGAGTTTCTGGGCTGGTGTTGTAGCCATGATACATAAAAGAAGACTAAGAGGTTGAGGATGATGGCGGCTGCCAGAGCAGCCCAGCAGCGGGTGAGCCGCATGGGGCCCGATGTCAGACTCTAGTCCAGACGTCCAGGACATCCTGGAGAGAAAGGATAAAAAGGGAGGCTGGTGCAGGTTTTCAGCAGCCCCCTCCCTCAAACACTCAGCCCTTCTTCCTGGATCTAATCTCAGGACTAGCCCTCCAGGACTTCCTAAGTGGACGCTGATCTTTCGCAGCTACCTCCCAGTGTTGAGTCTACTACAGGTGTGGGACACCACATAGTTGTAAATGTACCAAGGAGCTGTGTGTGCAAGATTGGTTAAGATGATCCATTTGATGTTACGTGTATTTGATCACCGTTTTTTAAAAGCCATAGTACATTGTGTAATTCAGCCCTCAGAAAGCAAAAGCAGGAGTATGGAGAGCTCAAGGCGAGCACGGGCTGCATAGCGAGACTCGGTCTCAAGAAACAAAACAAAGATCCAAAAGGAGGAAGAGGAGGAAAGAAGCAGCAGCTTGCTGCCCTTTACCCCAGCACTCAGGCAGAGGCAGGTGGATCCCCACGAGTTCAAAGCCAGTCTGCTCTACATAGTGAGTTCCAGGACAACCAGGGCTCATGCCCTGTTTTTGTTTTTTGTTTTTTTTTAAATATTTATTTATGTATTTATTTATGTATGTGTGTATGTATGTATGTATGTATGTATTTATTTATTTATTTATTTATTATGTATACAGTGTCTGCATGTACATCTGCAGGGCAGAAGAGGGCACCAGACCTCATTATATGGATGGTTGTGAGCCACCATGTGGTTGCTGGCAATTGAACTCAGGACCTCTGGAAGAACAGCCAGTACTCTTAACCGCTGAGCCATCTCTTCAGTCCCCAGGCCCTGTTTTTATTTATTTATTTATTTATTTATTTATTTATTTTATTTTAAAGAGGGCTGGGGGCTTAGCTTAGCAATAGAAGCCTAGCCTAGAATTCACCATCGAGTAGCCTGTTCCCCTGAGGTGTGGCTTTTAGTGGCATAATTGCATAGCATAAAAATGTTTCATTCCCAATACAATAAGGAAGGGGGGGGCGCAGAACACGACAATCAAACAAACACAAATCAGAGCTGGAGAGATGGTCAGCAGTGAAGAGCAATGGCTGCTTTTCCAGAGCACTGGAATTTGAATCCCAGCACTCTTGAGGCTGCTCACAACTGTCTGTAACTCCAGTGCCAAGAGCTCTGATGTCCTTTTCTGGCCTCCATGGGTGCCAGGCATGCATGTAGTTAGTACACAGACATGCACACAGGCAAAACACTTGTACATTTGAATAAAAATAGAGTGAGGAAACTGAAGCACAGAGAGGTGAAGTCACTTGTTCAAAGTCACACAGCAGAGAAGAGGGACATGGGATTTGATGCAAGAAGTTAGTTTGAGAATCCTGCTTCAATCCAGTAAACCAGCAGGCACAGTGGCACTCGCCTTTAATCTCGGCATTGCAGAGGCAGAAACAAGAGGATCTCTATGAGTTTGAGGCCAGCCTGGTGTACACAATGAGACCTTGTCTCAAAAACTGAAACACCCTAATAAACTGTTTTGCTTTGTTGAGATGGGATCTCACTGTGTCCTGAAGGCTGGCTTTGAACTAAGAAACTCTTGCTCATCTGACTTCTGGGATTATAGGCCACTATGTCCACCCAGCTCAGTTCTATTTGTTTTTTTTTTTTCAATCAATCACATAGCCCAACTCTTTCACTACATCTCTTCCAGAGCTCAAAAGGCTGAATATGGCACATGAAGTCAGTATACTAAGTAGGTACTTAATCAAGTACTCTGTGCCAGGCTGTTTGTTTTTGAGACAGGGGCTTAATGTGGGCGAGGCTGACCTTGAACAAGGCATAGAGCTGAGGATGCCTCTACCTACCAAAGACTGGGCTGGGATGACAGGCATGTGCTACCATCTTCCACAAGCACTCTACCAGCTAAGCTATGCCCTGAGCCCAAACCCCAATCCCAGCCTCTGTGTTCAGCAGGCCTGAGCAGACAGGCAACCAAAACAATTTAGGTAGGAGGCCAGCAGGGGGCATGAGTGAGTAATATAGGACCTTGCCTAGGAAAAGTGGTCAGGGAAGGGAGAGTGAAGCCGAGACCTTATTGGCTTTCCATTTCTTCCCCTGAACATTTTACATGCTAGAAGTGGTGTTAAATGTGTGTCATCTCAGCTCATAGGAGGTGGAGGCAAGAGGATTAAAAATTCAAGGTCATCCTTGGCCACTGCTTGAGTTGGAGGCCAGTCTGAGCTCCATTAGACTGTCAGAAAAATTCCAAACCACCACCACCACCACCAACGACAAAACAGTGCACAAAGTCTGGTGCGATGGCCCAGCAGGTAAAAGTGCCTGACACTAAGTCTGACCTGAATTTGACCTCCAGGACCCACACAATAGAAGGAACGAATCAACACCGGCAAGCTACCCTCTGACCTCTACACATGCCCACGCACACAATAAATAAATAAGTGAAAATTTTAAAGTGTATGTAAGTGTATCACTTGGATGTGGCCTGAGCCTTTTCACCCAGGTACAAAAAAAGGAGGTCTATTCAGGAACGCCTTTAAGGACATAGAAAGGGCAGCATTTGTGATTCTCGTGATATCAAGGAGACTTCTTACCTCCCTAGGTTTCAGACTGAGGGTGATCAAGGATGGTGGCTCCACCTTGAGTCATCTCTGCTGCGGGAGGAACCAGAAAACAACCAATGAGCCAACTCCATGCAACCAAGTGCAGTTTCATCCTACCCACAATACAAGTCAAGGACTCTTTTTTTCTGTTTGAAGTCCATAGGCTGGGTCACAACTTCAGTTGTCTCAGGAGTGGGGTGGGTGGGTAGAAGGTGTGTCAGATATCATTTGTAAGCTATAACTATCCCTCTTCCATGGTGGTGTCCCAAGGAAGCTGTTACCATGACAACCTCTTCCCTAGACACATGCATCCTTTGGAGATAATCCTGAAACATCCCCTATCTTTCTGGATCACTACAAGGTGGGAGATTGCCCTGTTATAGTAGCCAGGGCATGGCTTTGATTGTCTCTCATCTCCCTGGAAATGGCTTAGACCCTGTAACCATAGCAACGGTCCCACAGCAGCACTTCTCTAAATAAAAACACCTGGTTGGTTTGTCCATGGACCTCCCATATGGGAAGGGGCTATGGTTACCATGGTAATGCCAACTGGGTTGGCTGGGGGAGGGGTGGGGCAGAGGCATTCTTAGAGGAATATCTTTGGGGCTGAGTTCTTTTCTACCTGAGCACTAGGTGAGGAGAGGTTGCCATGGTAACTGATGAGGATAGGGTCAGAAGAACCACCAGGGACTTGGGTTACCTTAGCAACCGCCTCCTGGTGCAAAGATAGTAGGTTCGGGCTCCACATATGCAAAATGGGAGGGGGTTGGAAAAGGCCTCCAGGTTGGAAAGGGTTGCTATGACAACAGACTTGGTCAGGACTTAGGACAGATTCCACTCCCGAAATCACCCCAGGTCGTCTATTATTTTTCCTCTTAATGAGTGAAAGTGGTGGGGGGTGTTATTTGCATCTGGAGCGGGCTAGGGCTCTGACATTGGGGAGAAAGAAGGCAGAAAGAAAGAAGTCCAGTTCTGTCTCACTCCTCCAAGGGGGACAATTGCGAGGGGCTCTAGGTCCTTTGCCTAAGTTGAGGCAGCCCCTCCCCCCTCCCCGGTCAGCATCCCAGAACGCACACACCACCGGGGTAGACCCCGGGTGGGCGAGGCTCGCGCCTAACCCTGTGCTCGCCTCCGCTCCCCTCGCCCGCCCGTCGAGAGCGCGCGCGCGCACGCGAGGTGGGGGTGTGTATGTGTGAAGCTGCGCGTCCGCGCAGGCGCGAGGCAGAACGGGCGCGCGGGCCGGCCCCGGGGCCTCCATGATGGAGGAGCGAGCGGCCGCCGCGGTCGCCTCGGCCGCCTCCTCCTGTCGCCCTCTGGGCTCGGGCACAGCTCCCAACCCGACGGCGGCGGCCCCGGCCTCCAGCCCTGCTCCTGGGCCCGGCCCGGTAGGTAAAGGAGGTAGCGGTGGTGGCAGTCCGGGCCCCACAGCGGGTCCGGAGCCCCTCAGCCTGCCTGGGATCCTGCATTTTATCCAACACGAGTGGGCACGCTTCGAAGCCGAAAAGGCCCGCTGGGAGGCCGAGCGCGCCGAGCTGCAGGTGAGCGCCGCCGCCGCCCTCCCGCGCCCCCCGCCCCGGTCCTCCCCGGCCCGGCCTCGCCTCACCCGCCGCCGCCGCCGCCGCCGCCATCTTGAAGCAATGGCCGCCGGGACGGCCGGGAGGGGGCGGGCGGGGACAGCAACGGGCCGGCGGCGGGGTCCCCGGGGCCTCGGGGCGGGACGCCGGCCCGGCCCGGCCCGGCCGAAGGAGTTGAGCCGGGTCGAGGCGGCAGGGAGCCGCGAGTGGGAGCGTCGGCCCCAAGCCTACGGGTGCCTGAGCGACGCGAGTCGGGGTCCTCCGGGACAAGGTGCTGAGAAAGTGGATGGGGTCTGGGCGAATAAAAATGCCTCGCATCCGTATCCTAACCAGATGCTAGCTGTCAGGGTGGGATGGACGAGGTGCCTTTTGGCGCGACACATGTTTGACATCCACTGGGTGTCAGGAGTGAAGAGAGAAAGTCTGAGAGCTGGGATGGGTACCTGGGGGGGAGTGTCTGGCCTGAAGGAATTGAAAAGTGACTGTGTAAAGACTTCTGAGGATGGGAGGAAGCTTTATGGGAGGTGTCCCAGGATGAAGTCTGTAGCCTCTTGTTCAAGAAGGACACTTTGGGGATGTGTGGGTATCATGTAGGGAAGGGGTCATTTGGGTGGACTCACGGAGAGTGCAGCGGACTTACTCTAGGAATCTCTAGGAGAACTTGAGAGTGGGGCGCGACAGTTTGGAGGCTTGGAGGGAGTGGAGTGATGGTTCTGGTATGAAGATGTGAAGATGTTAGGTAGTTCTCCTGAACTGCAGAGGCATCTGCTGGATATATGCAGTGTGAAGACAAGAGCATCTGTGATGGACAGAGGAATGGGGAACAGGGGGAAGGCAACATGAGGGGGAACCCCATGAAAGAAGTGTTTGTGCAAGGTCCTGAAAAGGGACTTCATGGTTTGTGGAGAAGAAATGTACCAGGTGATGGTTCACCTAACGGGAGTTGGGCTGGGCTCTGTGACCTTGAACAAGGTCCTGCTTGTGGACAGTGGTCTTTCAGATCCAGGAATCAGAAAGGTGAGCACTTCAAGTCCTTCAGGGATGGGCCACTGGGAGTCAAATGGTTCCTAGGCTGGGATGTTATTAGCAGAAATAGTCAGTACTTGGCTTCTGGCAAATCATTTTTGTGTTTGCAAAGTGCTCGCTCCTGTCTAATTGAAGTAGGGCTCCAAATAAGGGACTGATTCGAATTTTGTCCATGGGATGAACTAAGAGAGCATCTTACTTTTCTCCCTTCCTTAGCTAGTGGTCGCTGAGGCTGTGGTAGGGAGAAATCCTTATGTAAGTGCTCCTCGTGTTGTGCCCAACGCTATAACTAAGGCTCTTTCCCAGCGCACATTTCATCAGATCTTCTCAATACCCCATTATGTAGGCAGGCCATGTCATTACCTCACTCAGCAATAATGACAGCAACTGCTATTTATTCAGGGCATATTATGTGCTGGACACTGTATTAAGTACTGTGATACGTGCTATCACAATTTTTGTAGCATTCTGAGAGGGGAAATGGTATCCCTTCCTCGTTTTTAACAAGCGGAGGAGGAATGGGGTTTTGAGAAGGCGAACACTGCGGATCACAGCAGTGAGTGGCAGTGCTGATCTTTTCTCTCTCCCTTACTCAGCACAGGTGAGGAAAGTCTCCAGGGAAGCTTAGAGGCCTCAGCAGGTCACCCAAGCCATCATAGCAGAGTGAGGGCTGAATCTTGACCTCCAGCACTTAACATGGGCACAACTGACAGCATCCACTAAAACAAACATCCTGTCCCCTTGCTGTGTAGCCCAAGCTCAACTAAAACTTACCATCCTCCTGCCTCAGCATTCTAAGTGTTGGGATTACAGGTGTGTGCTACCTCTTAATGAGAGGTGTGTGTCTGTCCCCACAGTTTTGTGGAACTCATGAAGAGCATCATCACTTTGTACTTTTGTTACATTAAATCAAACATTAGGGTTGTGTGTGTGTGTGTGCACAGAATGAATGGAAATGTGCTTATACCATTTTGTGACTTTCCATAAGTCATACATTTAAGTCTCCTTTTCCTATCTGCACAGAGAGCTCTATTTTGATAAAGGCATAGCATTCCCTTGAGTATTTATACCATCACTTACTTATTTTGACCCTTGTCAATGGATGTTTAGGATTGTTTCCACCTTTCCAACCCTGTCAGAAATATCTCTGAAGCCTCAAGAGACAGTTCAGTTGGTAAAGCACTTGCTGAGCAAAGGAGTTGAGTTTGATCCTCCAGAACCCATGTAAAAGGCAGGCATGGTGACACACACTTGGAATCCTGTAGTGGAGAAGTGGAGACGGGCAGGTTACTGGGACTCACTGACTAGTTAGCTTTCCCACTAAGAGCTCCAGGCTAATGAGAGGTCCTGTCTCAAAAAAACAGGGTAGAGGGTGCCTAGAGAATGGTTTTTCTAGATAATGCATGCATTCATAGACACACACACTATGGCTTTGATAACTGACTGAGTTTATGGTGTATGAATGTGTTTTGCTTCAAGATAGGGTCTCACTATGTAGCTCTGGCTTTTCTGGAACTTACTATGTAGACCAGGCTAGTTTTGAACTCACAGAGATCTGCCTGCCTCTGCCTCTGAGTCCTGGGACTAAAGGCATGCTCTGCATCACCTGTTAAATTTTATTTTTAAGTTTAAAATTAAGTTTTTTTATTGTGGAGGTCAGATGACAAATCACAGGAGTTGATTTTCTCCTTTGACCATGTGGCTTCTGAGATGGAACTCAGGCAGCAGACTTGGCAGTTGGCATCTTTACTCACTGAATCATCCTTGGCTCATGCAACTCTTTCCATTTATTTATTTTAAATATTTATTTATCTGTCTGTCTATTTATTTATTTTTGAGGAAGTCTTGCTGTGTGGCTGTGGCAGTATTAGAACTTCATATGTAGATCAAGCTAGCCTTAAACTCACAGAAATACCCCCCTCACACACATCAGCACACACCTAGCTCTTGAGTGCTGGAATTAAAAGCACTTGGTACTGACCACATTTGGCCCCTTTTTATTTGTGAGTCAGGTCTTATTCTGTAGCCATAATGGCCTCGAACTCACAATCCTTGTGTCTCAGCCTCTGGAGTGCTGGAACTACAGGTCTGCGCTGTTACAGGAATAGTCCCATTCTTTGTAATGGGTGTACATCAATACGTCTGACAAGCAACATCCCTTCTCACTCACCTTTCTTCCATTCAGCACTCAGACTTTCTGAAGGGCAACTTCCACGAGAACCTTCATGACGGGCAGTGTTGGTACTGAGGAGCTGTCCCTAGCTGTTTATGATACAATGTCCAGGACACAGGTGGGAAAAGGGCTGGCCAGGAAACTCCAGAGTTCAGAGCAGAGTTCTCAGGAGCAGAGGATATGGCCCCTCAAAAACTTTAGACCAGCAGAAAAGGCTGCTTTATTCAGGAGACTGCAGAGAACTGTCAGTACTCTTGCATAGTTGATTGTGGGATTCTGCTATGTGCTTCTGAAAAGGGAGTCCTTGGGGAGAGATCTGAATCTGCTGTTCTTGCAATGGAGAGAGTAGATGAGGCTCCAGGGAGAAAGTGTGCAGTTCCCTCCTCCACTCAGCCTCTTGGGCACTCTGGGATCCAGTGAAAGCTCGCACTGTCAGGAGCTGTGTGAGCTATAGGCTCCAGGCCACATACTGAATGGGGAGCTTGAGGATGGGAAGATGTGCAGCAGGAGTGGCTCTGTGTTCCAGAAGGATGCTGCCTTAGAGGAGCAGCCTGGGAGAGATGGCAGCCCCAAGTCAGAGCTCAGGGTGTTGGGGCCCTGTGGCTGGAGGGTGTGGCACTTCTAGCTCTCAGCTCCCCTGCTGCCCTCATGTAGGAGACTGACAGGCTGGTGCCAACATTTCCCATTTTTGGTGGGATTCCACCAATCTAAGACACTTCAGCCACATCTTCCTGATTCTCCTTCCTCTCTTCTCTACCAGAGGAACTGGGAAGAGGACAGCAGACCAAGAGGGTGCTGGGGAGGCCCCTACTCAGCTAGTCTCAGTACTTCTGGGTTTTAAAAAAAAAAAAAGGTTTTATTGGATTTATTTGTGTGTTTGCTGAGATTACAGGCATTAATATTACCATGCGCAATTTTATGTGGTGCTGGATATCAAATTCAGGGCTTCATGTGTGCTAGGCCAGCACTCTGACATCCTCAGCCCAGTTCCAGGGTTCTATGTTTTTGTTTTTGTTTTTTTAATTGGGGTGCCTCTTTGAGCTTTGCTAAATTCACACTTGGTTCTCCACATTGTAGCTGTAATGCCTTTGGTACACACCTGGTTATAGCTTTCTTCTGTGGCCTCCCTGTGCTCTTCCAGTAGACATCATGTTCATCTCTGTGGCCCATGATGTTTACTGTCTCCCATTTTGTTCACTCACCTTAGTTCCCATTCTGGTGTACCCTTGCTGTACTTTTAAGAGTACCTTTAGTTTGCCTTGCCCTGTTGTCTGTTTTCTGCCTGCAGCTTCCTTACCTAACTTCTGCATGTGATTGCTGGGGATTGAACTCAGGATCTCTGGAAGAGCAGCCAGTGCTCTTAACTTCTGAACTATCTCCTTACCTAACTTCTGATCAGCCTCAGTCCTCTATTAACTCTGGGTAAAAAACGGAGGTGAGGGATAGCAAGCCTGGGCACAGAGACAGGGAAGATAGGTCAAGGACCCTGCTAGCCCTGAGGAGAATGAGCAGCTTGAATAGGCATTTGAGCATTCCCTGGAGGAACCGGGCAGGTCAGCCTGTGAGTTTTTGGGGGAGCCCTGGAAGCACTTCAAAACTGATGTGCAGGAAGACAGCCATCCACAAGGGCCTGGCCTCCCAAGCCTTTCTCCCTGATGCGTCTTGGTTTAAGGATTAGGTCCCTTTGACTAGCTGGAATTTTGAATTAGCGGACAGGGAGAGAAAAATGAAGAGAGGCAAAGGCAGGGACTGGTATGGCAGCCTTCATTGCAGATTAGAGCTACATATGAGGGACAGTGCCCATGGTGCTCTATTCTCTTAAAAGAGGAAGGCTTGATGAACTACTTAGTGTCTGCAGCAAATCAGTGGCA